CCCTCCCTTTGCCGGCCTCCATCTACTTTATTTCCCAGTTCCTAGAGCTTCGTGGAACCACTTTATAGGTCTGGCAACAAACCCAGCCCACTTAGGTCATACCCCGCTCAACAAATGAAGATTGAATTCTCTCCCTTCGCTGGCTTCTATTTTCTATCGCACCCTTTTCGTTCCGGACTACCTCTAACCGACTTCTCTTTGTCACTCTGTTTTTGGGCCAGCCGAGCTCCGCTCACTTCAGTCATGCTCCGCCTACCAAGACAGTTGACCTCCACTCCTCCACCCACCTCTTTCCACTATTTTTCCGGTCTCCGGGACTTCTTGGAGCCAAGTTATGAATTTTCGTCGCAAACTCCGCCCACTTTGGTCAAGCCCCGCCCACCGATGACAGCTGGCCTCCACTCCTCCACCCACCTCCATCCACCTTTTCCCGGCCTCCGGGACTTCTTGGAGCCGAGTTATGAATTTTCGTCGCAAACTCCGCCCACTTTGGTCAGGCCCCGCCCACCATTTACAGGACAGTTGGCCTCTCGCTTCCATCGCAGACCTCCATCCACATTTTTCCCAAGCCTCCAGAACTTCTTAAGAACCGAGTTTTAGGTCTGGCAGAGGACTTATGAAGTTTCTGGCAAACTCCGCCCACTTTGATGCAAACACTGACTGCCAAGGGCAATCGAACTCCTTCTCTCCACCCACCTCCATCCACCTTTTTCCCGATCTCCGAAACTTCTTGGGCCGAGTTATGGATTTTCGTCGCAAACTCCGCCACTTTGGCAGTGCCTCGCCCACCGATGACAGGTAGCCTTCACTCCTCCATTACCAAACCCAACGCGCACCTCCATTCACCTTTCCGGCTCATCTAAAAAAAAAGAAAAGAAAAAAGAAGGTAAAGGAAAGAAAACGCTATACTCTTCAGCGCACGCCCCGCCCACTATAGGCGGGCCTCCGCCCAAGTCATGTATGCTGGGAACACCTTAGACATTGCTCCTCTACACCAATTTGTTTTCTGCTCTGTAGGCCTTTTCCCAACCAAGTTATCAATCCTTTTGTTAAGCACTGCTTTTTTGGAGAACGCCCCGCCCACCGGGGGTGGCTCTCTCTGATTCGATCAGACTTACCAATACACACCTTACCCTACTTTTCTTTCCCAGTTTCGAGGCTGTTTTCTAAGAGAATTGAAAATCTCGGTCGTCAGTACACTTCATTTCGACGCACGCCACGCCCACTGTGGGCGGGGCTCCGCTTAGCTGATGTGTGTTTTATACTTCTCGAGACCCTGGGCCACCGAACCCACCCTTGCCTCGCCGCGCGGCCCGGCCCCCCCGCGCGCCCGCCCCGGCCGCTGCCCGCGCGCCCCCCCGGCCCGGCGCGCGCCACCCCACCCCACTTGCCGCCGGTCTCTCCAGGTGACATCCGCAGGACTCAAGGGAATTTCGTGCACAGCATACCCGAGGATATGCATAGCCTGTATAGTAAGTAGGATACTTTGCGAGAAACTGGATTACTATTGCCGACACCAACTACTGCGCCGTTATGCACCCTCCCCAGCTATCCATTCACACAGCTGTACCAAAATAAGTATCATAATTACATAATCGTATAAGCAGCACCAAACATAGGGGCGATATTCGCCCGCTTCACTTGGTGCCACGGAGACTCCATACGCAAGGGTGGTGCTGAGGTAAACGTGGACGTCAGCGTCAGCTCAATTCAAATTGCCACATTGAACGTTGGCACACTCACGGGACAAAGTCGTGAGTTAGCCGAAATGTTAGAAACAGGCAAGATGAACACTACATGCACAGGAACACAATGGAGAGGACCAAAAACACGCGACATTGAAGACTACAAGACGGATCGGTTCCCGGCTGGTGTCAAGAGTCCGCGATCCTTTGCGCGATTTTCGCGATTTTCGCGATTTGCGCGATTTGCGCGATTTTCGCGATTTGCGCGACGGGTCACGGAAAATCACAAGTGCCCCATCCATACTGCAAGGTGTTCTCCAATCCCGCCGTCACTTCTGCTTGATGGTTATGGTTTAATGGAGACTGCTCATGATTCCACTTGTTTCATATCCAGTGTTTCAATTGTTCAAATGGGGCACTTGCAATTTTTGTGATTGGTTTGGTTTGATTCCTGAAAAAAATAGGAACGATTCAAGAGCATTTCAATGAACTAATAGACATTGAACATGAAACAAGTAGAACCACAAACATTCGTCTTCCAATCTTTACTGCCAAGCAGAATTCGCAGCAGGATTAAACAACACCTCGCAGTATTCATCGGGCACTTCCAACTCCTGTGATCCATCGCAGGTTTCGCGAAAATCGCGCAAATCGCGAAGAGCGGATCGCGGACTCTGACACCAGCCTTACCTGCCACTCTGATAGCAAGGAGTGGTTACAGTCGTCAGCACCAGGGTCGGTGCAACCAAGATCGAAAGTGCGACCATAACTTGAAAGACTCAACTCTAGCGTGTCACCAAAATCGCGACGGGGGCCGTAAGTGCGCATGGCGTATGAGTCTGGATACATGAACTTGTGCAGTAAGCCATATATCCGCAGCCGACCATCGGGCCGCTAGCCTACACCTTTTGGAGATATATCCCGACGACCCCCTCGGGCTTCCCGCATACGACTTCGGGGGTATGTCCTCGACGTCTCGGCTTACTGCGTACGGCCCCTCCTCATTTGTTCAGAAGTGGAGAAGGAAAAAGGGCGCTCTATCAAGGGTATCTGTTTCAAGAGTTATCCAATATTAACAGAGAAAAATACTTGACGAGGTTTTGAAGGCGTTGAGCGCTCTGCACTGCAACTCTTGACCCACACCTCGAAGTGATGTTAAATAGTGAAGAAGGGCCTCTAGACGGCAGTCAACCGTAAATAATACCTCACCTCTGTAGACTCTGCTTGTCCATATTAATCCATCGATCAACAATTGAATTTCGGGCCTGATCGCGCTCTAGAACGAGTCGCTCAACTTGTTGTTCCATCAGTTGCCGATATTCGCCATCCAAAATATTGGCATCCACTTGTTCCACGCGTAACGATTCACATGCCATCTAGGAATTATTTGACTTTGGATTAGTGCCGCCAAAAATGAAAGATCTCTTTACCAACCTCTATGTGTAGACGAAATTTTTACTAAGAATGAGTTTTTTTTAATAATTTTAGTATTTTGTTAGTTGGATGGAGCCCATTTCCCATTGTAATACGTCTTACCTAGAGTGGCTGAGTATGATTAATATTTCAAGCACACTGACACACAAGTGGTCAATAAGGGTAACGATGATGTAAACAAGAAAGAAGTGTGCAGTGAAGTGTGGCTGACGTCAGCTGATAGCGCTCGATGACCTTCCATTATTGACTCTTACTGCAACGTCGACAACGAAGCGCAGTCAAGCAGGAGCTAACCATTTGGAAAAGATTCTACACGATACGGAAGATGTGGTGCCGCACGCTAAATCAGGCCCGAGAGCTTAAAAATACATATTTTTCATTTTTGTACATAGCACTTCAAGTGACACGGTATACCATCGTACACTCGCAACCTTGGAGAATGACAGTCGTTCCCATAAACAGAACAGCTTTATGCCTGCCAAACGTACCACAATCTCAGTAAAAATTTCTTAAATGAATTTTTCCATACTACTTCTTTCTTTCATACTTATTGGAACACACACCTCAGAAATCATCCTGATTATGATGATGAGAAACAGAACGGATAACTAACGAAAAAGAGATGCCTAGGAAATGACCAGAATCGGGTCGGATACCCACTACAACCTTCTAGAGCACAAACCAAATAGGACAATAGAAAAGCCAACTGTTGCATACCTCAGAAAGCTCCACTGCATATTCTGGTGGAAAAGTGAACGGCACGAAGAAGCGGAGAAAGTGTACGAAGAAAAGAAAAAGGAATTATGAGCAGAAACCTCTGATGCGGACTTTTTTAGACAAGATCCACACTTCATTTCGCGAAAACCACGTCTTTTTTTTGCTTTCGTCTGCGCCCTCTCCTCGAAATGGCGTCTGAGGTTGCAACGAACTCGCACATTCCAATCTTTCCGTTTCTGGAGGCTTTCTAGGAGGCTTAGTTATGATTCTCCTATCAGAGACCCTACGAACGTTCCTTCCATCCCCTGCAGTAGCTTCTATTTGCTTCATTATGTCCTTACGCTTAGGGTCCTATGTCAGGATGGATGACCTTCGAGAGCAACAGATGAATCTCACGTGAGAAAGTTCAAGGTGGAAAAGACATGCTCTCGCGCGCATTGACATGGCCTAAATGGCGATAGCTACGGCCGATCAGACATTGCGAATCGAACGATTCGCAAACTCTGACATCGGCCACAACCCTGCGTACAGGCGTACGCAGCCATGTGGCACAAGCGCGGGAGGCGGAAAAGCCGCCTGCCACGCATGCTCGCTTGTGCAGAAATGCTTTCGTCCGTTATGTGGTAACACAATAGTTGTCCTGATTTTATGAAGCATCAAAAATATTTATAGCAGAAACCAGCACACATTCACTGCTTGCTTGCAAATTCTTTTATTTGGACAGTGCCTATTTAGCCTGAATATTTATACACTTCTGCCATCCTTAACTCAAATCACGAGAACTCGGTAGCCACCAACACCTATGATTAAAAATAAATAGCATTCAATGACAACACTCATGCTCAGTTTACCATAAAATAATTTATTTGGAATAATATCATGTAAAGAATAATACCGATCTTTGGCAGAGCAGATTTTTGAATTAACACATGTTTAGTTTGCACGTCATAACCAAAACTTGATCTAACTCTTTAACACAAAGAAAAATATTTGTATTCGCAAAAAAGCCGACCATCATGTTGGGAACAAAATTGTAAGTCCAGGAACCATCAACACAAATAAATAACCCGGCAGCGAAACGCTTTCGTATGAAGATGTAGGTATTCGAGGGTACATATATCGCCGACCATTCTCGACTATCGTCCATACTCCTTATTATTAAAATCATCGACGGAGTAGAATGAAGCAGCCACCGATCGACCTCCGAAAAAATCGACCATTCATCACCACGAAGGCCTTGATGGCTTGTGCAACATTCGTAAACTCTACGAATATTCGTACGGCGACGTCATCACTAACACCTTCCAGCTAGAAAAAAATCTCTGATGAATCGAAAGGCACACTCGCAAAAGCTGAGAGGAAAAGAAGAAATACCTTATGAATAACTACGGACGCCACCTGACCATACTTGGCCATCTCTTCGCGAATTTCATGCTCAATGCTGTCGTCGTCGCTTCGTAGGACAACCATATTCTTGAAGATTTAGAAAAATGATTAATGTTTTCAGAATATAGCCCACTGGAAGCTGTCAAAAAAAAACCAACAGTTAGATTCAGACTTTGGTGGAATCTCTTCTAGACTTTTTGTGTCATGTTGGATTGGTGCAACACCCATTGGAGCACACGGTTGAGCGGGAGCATTTCCTGCAACAGTAGAGCACATTTGGAGATTTAAAAGAAAGGTATTAGCTAATACCTGATCTCCGTTGACTGATAAAGTCCAGGTTCTCCTAGTTTTCAACTGGAGAGCTGTGCTCATTCCTTGCTCATCACGTCCTGCAAAGAGCCAATAAACTTATTATCATGAACACATTCTGTACTTTAACTTACCGAGTCCGCCGCCATGTTTATAGCCAAATTTGCTCATAATGTTGGCAGCAACACCAAGGCCTTTGGAAGTAGCCTTGCCAAAGGACGGTAAGAATGCTGGAGGCGGCATCGAATTTGGCGGGTGAATTCGACTCCTAAAAAAATTCGAATGAAATAAAAGCAGCGATTGAAATTGGAAAAAGCGCACTTTTGGAGGGGATGGTGGTTCGAGGAGCGCTTGTGGTGGAGCGATAGCAGCACCCTTCTGCCTCTTTCTCGCTTCCTCCTTGTGGTCACGGCTCAGCCTACAAACAAACGGTACAGATCCAACCATGGTTGAGTGTATAAATTTAATAATAATAAAAATAAGTGTATAAATTTAATTTTGGTCACCACCTGAAAACCCGAAAATTTTATCCGACAATTTCAATCACAAAGACTGGAAGATGATTAAGTTCTCCCGGCTTGTGCAGGGCAGGGAAAATAGGAAAAAGAAATTTTGTCTCCACATTCGAATGGATTTCATGCTTTGTTAGATTTACACCGAATGCTCTAGACTTAGAACTGAAGGGTACGTTCCATTTGTCCAAATATCTAGTGGCCTTCTAGTGTACGACAAACTTGCCCCAGAAAACGTTGCTGGACGAGTCGAGCGCACTGGAGTCCTCGATGAGTCGAACATCAACGATGTTCCCAGAAATGCTAGTTGGGAGAGCGTTTGCTTAGTCAAAGCTGATCTCTCCAGGTTTCAACGGTGAATGATCCAGGAAATTATGTAAGAGCTTCAGGCTAAAACAATTACCATCGTCTCCTTGTGCTCGACGACGATGGTAAAGACGTTATATTCTGAAGGCCACAAGATCAGTGAAGCAGAGGCCGCCTACTTTAGAGGGAACTTTCGAGGAATAATTTTGTTGTAAGCACATCCTTCAAAACGGCGCGCTTAATGGCGAGCAAAAAAATCGTGTGAATTGCTTACATGGCAAAATGCTTTTTTCTGTCCTCCACTCAACGTTTTCACCTGCCTGAATTGAATAGATATGGGTGGGTACTGTAGTTTAAGAGAACATTTTTTCACTCCAATGTACTCGGTGCTTGGGAAAGCGCTGTCCAACCAAGCAAGAAAGAGACTATCCGTTATCACCTGACTAGTTTACGATCAAACACATCTCGCTCTTGAAGATGTTCAGGTACACTTCTTTTGCATGGCAGAGGGACGCGAAACGACATTCCTGGGAATCTTGCTAAGACCGAGGTGAATCTGTAGTTATCTTCTGCAAACGACTGCACTTCCACTTTCCACACAAATAAAGTTCCTCTACACAGAGTGTACGAAACGAGGGTGGCATCATGCGACACTTCGGAGCCATAAGATGATACATGGAGTCTATCACCAAGTCATTCGCGACAATGTTGGGGAAATACCTCGCTTCTCAAGGAAGGACATGCTCACATTCTGTGAGCTCCGCAAATCTTCAGACCGAACTACTCAACCAAGAAAAAGTCGCCAGGAGATGGGGCGACGTTAGTGTTTATGGCCTAACATACTTTACGATACACCTAGCCATACTTGTACACACCTACATGCACTTTTACAACCTGTATACAGTCCCATCCCAACACGAGATAAGACTCACAAGTTTTCTAAACAGAAAATTGAATTTCGGTAACCACCTATGCTAAAACGAACATGGACGCGACTAATACCTCTGAAAATTCGTTGAGTGAAGAAAAAAATATTCAATGAGTACTGGGAGATGTTTCCATTCCGGCGGTCTTGTAAAAATAAAGAAGCAGAGGAGGACCCGGAGAAAGATAAAGTGAAAATAAAACGTGAAAAGTGCATAATTTACCATTTACTTCACCAATTTACCGCACCATTGAAACAAAATAATCCGAAAATGCGCTCGAGCTCCTGGTTCAGCATGAAGTGGAGGTATACGTAAGGCCGTAGATTACCACCCCTTTCCTTGCCTCGGGTTCTGTCTTGCCTATCGGTTCACTCTGACCCTTTTGATACAGCAGTAAGCGGACCTGCGTCAGAATTAAGTGTTCCGATTCAAAATGCCCTATTTTTTCTCGAATTTAACTCGATGCCAAGCTATTTTAACAAGGTGAGCTGGTATTGATGGCCGCAGTTTACTCTGCGACGCATTTTGACAACACGAGTGATGGTTTACAATATGGTTTAATTGTGTGACTTAGTTGCTCGCACTTGATAGATAGTTATTCGACATTCAGACTCTAGGGAAGTTACGAAGTACGAGCGCTGCCTTACTTCGTAGCACCAAAAAGACAGCAGTGTTCCAATCAAAATGCATTGCTTGCGAACATGGTTCATTATGTGAGCAGAAATAGCTCCTGATATACAAAACCATACCTTTCCGCCACTTCTCTGGCATGCCTTTCACGCGCTTCTCGTTCCTCAGCCTTTCGTTTGCATACGATGTACTCATTTGGGACCGCTGGTTGATACTCATTCTTGACAATGTAATTCACCAAGAGATTCGGAACCTGAATTTCGATGTGGAGCACTTCTATTTGCGTCCCACGCTTTTACACTCAGCGATCAAGCAGATTAAGTCTTGAATGAATGTGGAACCTACACTGTCGTCGACTGCCCCTTTGGGCAAAAATGATGGAGGAGCGCAGTCCGTTATCGGAAGGGCGCGCACAGGCTGGATTCGACGCATGTTGATTGGGGCCCTGTTGCGGGCTGACAAGTCCACAACTGGTGCTACACTTGTTCTTTGCTACAGTTGTACAATTAGTCCGAGAAAAAGTTGCGACCTTCTGCCTACTCATTACCATTCCTTGCTGTATTTGAACCCTCTTTTGAGCTATCTGAGCTTGTAGAAACTTCATTCGTAATATCGGCAGAACCTGAAGAAATAAAATGACTGAAGGCAATTGTACATCGCTGAATTTCTTCAATGGAAATGATAACGTGGCACAAGGGTTCACGTTTATCTGGCGGGAGGAGGAGGAGGAATAAGCGACGCAAAGTACCGGAGGAGACGAGAATACCTCCATATGACCGGTAGATTGCGACGTGGAACATATACCCTAACATTCCATTTTGCTATATTTCGTAATCCTAGTACGCTAGAGTCCAAAATTTTTACCAGCAATTAAATATATGTTCAAACTCTTATCGAATATGAGAGAATAGAGGTTTTTACGGTGGTGCTAACTTAGTTGGGGGGGGGGCCACGCGGCGGCGCGGCAGTCTGCTCACCTGGGCTCTCTCGAGCGAGACAGTGTAAACTCGAACATTCCAGCTTTTCACGCATGTCAAGTGACTGCCCCCACCCCCCAACCCCTAGGCTGGCTACACTCCCCCTGGCCCACGGATTTCCGAACATGCCAGACGAGCAGACTGCCGCGCCGCCGCGTGCCCCCCCCCCCCAACTAAGTTAGCACCGATTCTTTCAATGTAAGCTTCAATAGCCCTGATTGTTGCGTTGGACTTCCTTTGGCCAAATATCAAGTTGCCCGTTAGATTCCGATTTTGAAACTAGAACCATTTATGAGGTTAATGAGATAACTATTTCCGAGAAGCTAATGTAGTTGTGGGAAGGAGCAGTTGCCGTCGCGGCGTGCGGATGTCTGCGTCCTCTCATCCAAAGAGTATAAAATCGCACATTCCACCTTTTCACACACACTAGTTGAAACAATTCGCCTCATCCCTTCCCTGCTACCTGTCTACATTCCCCATAGCTCAGAAAATCCTCGTATTGCACTGAAGGACGGGCAGCGCGCGGCGTCCACTGCCCTCCCCCAGAACAACGGCACTATTCAACTATCATAACCACAAAATACCAAAATTTTATTTTTCGACGACATTTTCTCCATAAGGGTAATTCTATGCCAGGCAGGACGTCGAATTACCTTATTGAAGCTTCGACGAAACATAAAAATTGAGGTTTTGGATTGTATCCCAGATCGCGCGTGGGGTACAACAGCTGATAGAACAACGTGCACACATCAGGCGATTCAATCGGCGCTCTCGGCCGAGCGATTGGCAAACGACGACAGCAGGCATTCGACGATCGCGATCGCTCCATCGCTTGTCCGTCGCCGAATGTGACGTCGGTCTAATGAAGTTGTAGAGTGGAGAGTTGACTGCTAATGGTAAAATGCGATGAAAACCGCCGATGAAGCCTTTGAACAGGGACTACTCCTCTTCCCTTTGAAGCGAAGGAAGGGGCGTGTCCGACGAGTTGTCTGAACTTGCTTGCTCCGCCGACATGTCTTGCTGGTTCGTGCCAGTAAGAATGCCGGCGTAGCAAAAACGAACACAAAAACAAAAAAAATCAAGCATCTGCGCAGTTGAACCAGGCTCTGATTAAGAAAACAGTGACATCGAGCACAATTGTGCATTATATAAAGGCATAAGAAGTAGTTCATTATAACTAACCTTTTCCTGGGGGAGGCGAGTCGTCATCGTCATACAGCGGCATCTCTGAACATTCATAGATTAATCACTTAAATGCATTTTCGAACCTTATGCTGGTACCGCGACGAGTTTTTCCATGAAATGTTCGTAGAAAAATGAACTATGTTTTTGCCGACAACAATTATGAAGCATCATGGAAGCTCGCTCAACATCACGAAGCATAAACTACAAATCTATCAATTTACACTCCAGTCTTCGGATTGTTAAAAGGCCAAAACACGACTTCAACTAAGGTTCAATGGGCAACAGCGGGCCTTTTTTCTATGACAGGTGCGGACCACTTCTCAAAAGCTCATCGAGCAATAATGATTAGAACAATAAATGACTTGTAAATGGCAAGAGAGGCAGATCACAACAACGAATGCATGGAATTAATTCAAACAAAACCGTCAAACTCACCACTTCAGTCGTAGGATGCGGGCAACACACTACAAATGACGAGATGGAGCAATCGTTGGTGTGAGGTGTGTCGGCGCTTCTTTTGCGTAGCAACATCGACCTACTTTTTTGAGTTTTGTGGGTATATACGACTAGAATTGGATTTTTAATGACAATTGGAGACAATCGGCTTACTGGTTGGGCCGCATTGAGGAGAGCATCTTACCAAATTAAAAGTGTGTTAAACGAAGGTCATTGGGTGTATGGTAATCTGCTAGAAGGCCTGATTCTCTGAATCTTGGTGAGTATTAGCAGAGGAGTGAGTACAGAAGTGGGCGAGATCCATCAGGAACCTCAACTACTGAGCCAAACCGGTGCTAACTTAGTTGGGGGGGGGGCACGCGGCGGCGCGGCAGTCTGCTCACCTGGGCTCTCTCGAGCGAGACAGTGTAAACTCGAACATTCCAGCTTTTCACGCATGTCAAGTGACTGCCCCCACCCCCACCCCCTAGACTGGCTACACTCCCCCTGGCCCACGGATTTCCGAACATGCCAGGCGAGCAGACTGCCGCGCCGCCGCGTGCCCCCCCCAACTAAGTTAGCACCCAAGCCGTGTAGCCTGAGGAAGGACTCTCTTTTCTCACAGGAATGTTGGGCTACATGTGCACAAGTGCATGACGTCAAAACAACCGAACAGATGTGACACGAAAGTTTATGCCTCACCACCATATTTGCGCGTGCCCTCACGATACCATACTCACGAACCAACAGCTTCCTGAATGTAGAAGTGTTATCCAGTAATCAGCCCGAGTGGGAAAGTAACTTTCACCGCTTAGGAACTCCAGATTCATGTTAAGGGATTGGAATGCCTGGCGAACTCGGTTCGGCAAGATGAACGATCCGAATGTTTTATGGCGCTTATAATCACGTGGCTGTGATGTCGTTTCAAGAACAAACATCAAAAAACGAAGTTTTACGAACCCTATATGTATTAGGTTGTCTCATAAGTAGTGTCGCTTTTTTTCAACCAAAAAATTTTCATCTAAATCCTGAAACTTTTACATCGTTTTATATACCATTCGAAAGAGAATTGTCTGCTCTACAAAATGCTGTGTTCCGCTTCCACCGCTATTTCAGAGTTTTCGAATTTCAGGCCAGCAAAATGGGAGGTCTCGCCGGCAAAAATTGACCAAACCGACAACTGGCTGTAACTTTATTTTCCCTGGGGAGAAATCAACCAGTGATATACCCTATACTTACCCATGACCTCTTCTAAACATTCCACTCTTAGGTTGCCGAAAAAGCTTTGCCGTTTTTCTTTTCGAATTGGCTGACGGATAAGCCATAGCAATTTTCAAATTAAAATTGTTCCTCGTAAACGTCATTGTTTCATATCGAGTGGTGTTCCTTTTACGAGCACTTCTTCTGCTCTACTCGCTCATTTGTTTTGTTTCTCTGTTTGTTGGGAATTAGTTCGAATTTTAGATGTTTCGGTATAAGGTGCTTTACCGCGAAAGTGACCACATTTCTTTGAAAAAAATTATCCCTTAGAAAATGAGAAAATCAACCAGTCGTACATTCCTAACTTAGTCATGACTTGTTCTTCAAATTCAACCAGTTCTTCAACGTCTCGGCCATAAAAAAATTTCGACCTAGATCTCAGGTAATGGTGCTCGATCGTCGAGTTCTGGTTGAAAAACCAGCTCTGGAAATTGAACGACGCGATTTGTAGGAAAACCTAGTAGTGTAATGATTAGAAGAGGTCATGCATAAGTAGAAGGTACATCATAGATTGATTTCTCCCAAGGAAAGATAATGTTAGAGATAGTTGTCGGTTTGGCCATTTTTTGTCGGCCGGACCTCCCATTTCACAGGCCCAAAATTTGAAAACCCTGGAAGAAATGTGGAAGTGGGACATAGCATTTTGTAGAGCAGACAATTCTCTTTCGAATGGTACACAACACGATGTAAAAGCATGGAGGTTTAGATGAAAATTTTTTGGATGAAAAAAAGCGACACTGTTTATGAGACAACCTAATATTTCATTAATAGTCATATCCACTGATCCCATTGCTTGAGGTCAATTAAGGTTTTCTATTACGTGCGTTTTTTCGAGGCATTCTAGGAATTCTCTTGGCAACAATCCAATATTCGGTAATGTGGATCAAGCTGTCCCGTTAACAACTCTCGAGAGTACTACAGAAATGCTATTGTAGCGGTATAAAATGCGCGGAAGGGGCTAGATGCTCGCAAAAAGGCAAATGGACGAGATTTCTCATACCCCGTGACACACAGGGTCTAAGGACAACTTGAACTCGGTCCTTTGAACTGCTTCGAATTGATGCCTTCGCCTGCGCTCTCTCGTCCTGAACAGGGCTGGTTACTGTGGTTCCGATGCATTCAAATTTTGCCACAATATGATTGACACTCCCACTCTAGAACCTTCCTCCCTCCAAAGCTTAGTCCTAGGCTCACAAATTACTGCTTGAGATTTTGGAGCGGAGCCAGGCGCCGCTCTCTAATCGTCTGTGCTCTGGCCTTTCGAGGCAGAGAACATAGGGGCGAGTTCAAGTAGTCACATCGACACGCAGCATGGGTAACGACGTAGCGGCTGAACTAAAATACGCGCTGTCTAGTGGAGCCATGGAACCAATAAAGTGTGTCATGAACCTCGGACACGCTCTTTGCCTCATTCCAACGCGGAATGAAAGTTCCTTGTTAGGTTAGTCTTTCACTGGCGGTTTCTTCTGCTCTTCTTTTTTTTTCCAAAAAACTCCGTACAATCCTTCATTATCGATCACTGTTACCCCATCAGCGGAAGATGGGACTCGGAGATCTGCATGGCTCACATCTTGGCGCGGTTGGCGGGACGCCACTTACTATTAATCGCCTCGCTGGCGGTCGTATACCTGGGTGTACGATTAGATAGCAGAGAGAGAGCGTAGTGTTGATAAGGGCACAACGATGAGAGTCGCATCAAAGCGCAAATTAACGGGCAAGTAAGGGGTACCATTTCTCGGGTTCGGAGCCGTTTCAAATGGTTCTTCTTCATCCTGCTCACTGACCACTCTATCTTATTTCAAGTGGCAGCTAAGTTTTACGCGTAACTTCTACTAGGCGGGTTACGGACTAATGCTTCTAGTATCATTCCAAGGTGCAAGTAAAGAGTGGTGCGAAGAATTACTACACGTAATGAATATGATGCAACAAAAACGGCGATATAATTACCGGCGCGGACAGGAATTACCACCTTTTTTTGCAAGCTATGCCTTCTGATTTTTAATTTTTTGTTTGGAGAACTTGCGTATTCGCCGCACCATGGAGCTTTTACGCGAACAAAAAATGCCAAAATGTTACATGAGTTACAAGCTTGAGCTCAAACGAAGGTGCGAATGCCTCGTAGAATCGAGTGAAAGCCTGGGGTGAATGCATGGTTGGAGGGACAGTTGAGAACTTTGGATGTGGTAACTTGTGGTTAGTTTTGCTTTCGGTTTGGGGTTTCTAAATATGTGTGTAATGAAAAGTTCGGATAATTTCCGAGTAAAACAATAGGAACGAGGAGGAACCTCCGAATGATCCGGGGTTGAAATCCTCTTTGTTGAGTTTAGCTTTAGTCGCTTAGTCGGATGGGAAAATGGATTCGGTCGGGACGGCGTTCCGAACTGCCGGCTCATGCTTGCAGTATTGTGATTATAGCGGTACAGGGAGTTGGGTGTTACTAGCTAACATACTCTTGGCCTGTTTTCGATCCACTGTTGCGTTTTTTCACACGAAGGGAGGCTAATGTTGCGGTCAGTTGCAAGAGGAAAGGTTACGGACGAGGCGTACGCAATGGGATGGGAGCTTCCAGCTCATTGTCCCATAACTTCGAAGACACATGAAGAAATGCACCTGTGAGTCTTTATGATGAGGTAATAATACCATACGTCAGGATGGATTGATCTATTTAGTCAGTCGCTGAAGGTGCCTGTCATACTTTACTAGGCTATATGGAATACCCCATCTATAGCTGGCATTCTCGAGTCGACTGCGAGTCAGTATTCCAGTGTGAGCTGTTTCACATCGCCCACACGATGCCTCATACCTCGCATTAATATAGTTCAGAATACTGTCTTCCCACGCCCGCCTTTTCTATCGTGAGTGTTTAACAGCAAACCCAGAAGGGCCCCCCCCCACGCCCGCCCACCCCGGTCGGACAGCGCACGCACCACCCTCATCATCCATCAACCTATCAGCGGACTACCACCCCAAATTCTCCCGCCCTAACGTGAATCCTGATCGCCTCTCACCCACTCGACTGCCACCTCGTTCCGGAGACTATGCCCTTTCACGTCGCACGCTGCACATCCGGACTCATCCCCCCCCCACCGCCCATCCCCCCCGACTGCTGAATTCCATCCTCCTCCAGGCCCACGTCAAACGTCACGTTGTCTCTGACCCTCAGACCCCCAAGCGACACGAGCTCGGCCGATGGCCCCGAGCCCCCAGCTCCAGCAGACTCTCCTGCACCAGCTCGCTACTCCTTCGCGCACCGTTGCGCAAACCACCCGAGCAGCAGCTCCGACCTCTCTCTACAACAATCGCGTCGCCTCAAAAGCCAAGGTACATAGCATCCTGCAGTATCTC